ATAGCTTTTAAATGTAAATTTCAGGCTTCTTGTGCTTGCCTGTTGCATTCCAGGTAGTCAGTGGAAATCTGCTTTGTTCCTTGAGGAACAGTGCACGTTAATTTTGCCTGTATTAAATCCTTAATTTGAATCAGTTCTCTCTTCTGTTATCCAGAAGCGTGCAGTCCAGGGTCTCTTGGCTGATGAAACCAAGTGGTTGATGTTAATTTGGCAAGCTCATGTCCTGTCAGTAAAACGGTAGGCTAGCCTTTTTTCGCCTCCTTTATTCCTTCCACTTTTTGTTTTTGTTTATCCTCCTTTCCCTGGTGGTCACTGCTCTCCCGCATTTACTTCCACACCCTTTCGCTGCCTGCTCAACTACGTGTGTCTCTTTCATTACGCGTAGTGAAGGCTATACCAGTCAGGCTACAGTTGTCAAGTCCTTGTAATATTGCTCCTAATCCTAGAAAGTGCTGTATGCAACAACAAAATTGCCTTTGTGACAGTGGAAGAATACATAGAAAAGCATGAGATCTTTCAATTTACCATGAATGGTTTCTGCTGCCTTTACATTGACAAGACTCCCCCCAAGGAATCTGGGGACCACCTTAATTTTCTTCCCAGGGATGGTAGCCAGCATGCAGGAGGTAACTGGGAGAAACGGAAGAGCTCCTGGAAATTGCAGGCAAAGCAGAAAGTTTAGCAGTAATTAGTATCTTCCACTTCCTGTGCGGTTTGTTTTCCGTTCCTGTGCCAGGCGGTGCTAACACAACATGCCTGTTTGAGTGATAGCCAGAAGGTAGGGGAGGGAAACGACACAGGATAAAAATCAAGTACGCAAGGATATCTCTAGCCCAGCCAAATCCAGGCCCAGGTATTGAAATTTAGATTAGAAATTTTGAAATACTCTTTTTAGCAGCTATAAAATGCATGTTGTGATTACTGTGCTACTTAATTGAAACAGATTTAGGTTTAATCTCAAGCAACTCCTAGCCAAAGTTTGGACCTAGAGATGACTCTTAAGATAGGCATTTCCTCTGTATCCTCAGAGCATTTCAAGTAATGCAGGAGCTACAGGGCAAAGCCTATTACTGTGTTTTCTATCTTTGGCATCGCGTGTTTGCTAATCCAGTGCTATGAGCATTAGTTTCCAGGGTATTATCTGAAATGGCTTTGTGAAATAGTAGATGGAGTATCCATCAATGAAACAGAGCAAGTTTCCTTGTAGGAACTACATGATCAGGTGTGAAAAGAGTAATCATTGGAAGTGGGTTATCTTTGCTTTTCATCAGTCTTTTGGCTGTTTAGTAAGTGGCTTGCATGGTTGCAGTGGGAAGGAGGTGATCAACATAAATTTCATGCCTGTTTTTCAAAATTCTGACACCTGTGGATTTTAGTGTTTTACAAATGGGCACAAGGAAACCAGAGCTGCGGCACGCCAACTGTTTTCTGGCAACTGACCTTATAGAAGAAGGGCAGCATAAAGAGTGGAGAAATGGGTATATAACACATTTTTGTTTGTTAGCATGGGAAGAATCAAATTTCAGAAGTGCAAGTTTGAAAGGGATCATCTTTAACTTTTGTGCATGCTTAGTAGAAGATGGCATGTTTCTCACCATGTACCTGTCTCAAAATTACTCGTGTTTTCTACTTCCCTGTTATAAAACAGGAGGAAAAAGAGCAGGTGCTTTTCTTTTTTTTTTTGAAAAGCCACATCTTTCAGGTACCTGTGTCTTTAAAAATTTGAAAGTGAATTTAACTTCCTGTTCGTTGAACAGTATTTCTTCAAGTTGCCAATAAAAAAGTCTAACTCAGTCAGTCTGTGTTCTTATTACTGTGAAGAGATTAATGAACTTTAGCACTGAAATACAAAAATAGTTAAATCTACTTTGAGCTAAGCTAGTAAGCTCTTTGAGGCATGAACAGTATTTATATCATGTATAGAAGGGCTGGTTTTGGCTTCAGACTCCTGTGATACAGACTGCTAGGAGTATGCAAAATGAGAGAATCGGAACTAAACTTCCCATTTGTGCATCTAGAAGTCTGTGATGGCATTATAAAAATATTCACTATAGCAAATCGTAGACTTATGCCTTTCAACAAATAATCATGCATGCCTCCATCCTTCTCCCCAGCACATTATTGTTAAAATACCTAGAAGCAAGCTGGTTTAAAGGCCAGGAGTTGCACCTATAGTGGGTGGCGGTGGTTATGGGTATATCTCTGTGGTGCATTTTGGACAGATATGTGCTTGCTTCCCCTGTACTTTGGCTATGTTAATGTGCCACTAAGCTGGTGCTGACAGATCCCACTTGTTAGCATGGATGTTGCACAGCAGGAGCACAGTCACGTGGCTTTTCGCCATTTCAGAGTGCAGGCAGAGCGAACAGGGGTCATCTTGGACTGCAACATGTAGAAATGCTGGTGTGCCTCAATGCATTGCTTCTGCGTCAGAGGAAGTGTCCTGAAGGAAAACATCCTGACGGCAGTTTTGGTCTTGCTCCCGCTTAGTGCCGCAATCGATAAAAGCATTAAGCTGGTCACCTGAGGAGGGATTCCCTGCTAATATAAACACAAAATAAGCAGAATTAAACTGAGAGTTAAAAATGGATTTGCTGACGCTAAGATAGCTCTGGAGCAGTATTCCTACCTCTAAAGCATAAGGTAAATAGAAAATATATCATGAGTGTCTTAGCAGCGCTAAGGACATCTTTTCATTGCAAATTAGATAGGATCATCTCCATCTACAGAGTATGTTTAGGACTTTTGTCTGCTTTTAGAGAGCTCCCATTATAAATCATCAGAGTTCATACCTCTGGGATTGCACAAACACAGTGGTGACCTTGTCCATTCTGTCACTTGTAAAACATGCCTTTCACAGCACACCAAGAATGAGATTTTAGGCATTTTAGGCAAGTTGAATCACACTATAAAGCAATACCTAGCTACTCCAAAAGATACGGGCTCTTTACAGCTGCATCTCTTCTTGAGGTTCTCAGGGAGCTAAAGCAGAAGAACAATAACCCTGTATTTTTCCTGTTTAGTTTCCTCAGAAGATGAGTGTTGAACATACGATGCTATGTGCTTGTGCATATACTACTGTGATAAACAGGATCATGGCACTGAAATTACTGAAAAATACTCCACGTCTTTTTTTTTTTTTTCTTGCACAGTTTTCTGGTTGCAACACAGCCCCAAAAGTAGCTGTAGAGGAAGAACTGGAACAGTGAAACAGCAACTGCTTTGGTTGGCATTGCCACTGAGAAAAACACCTGTGAACATGACATAAATGCCTCTATTTGTAAATAGGGGCTCTGAATAGAAGAAGAGTGATAGTAGTTAGTTAATCTAGAAGGAAAAGCTATGAGTGGTTAACGTTTGGGGAAGCCGTCTTCCTTCATAATGTTTAAATAATCTCATCCAGTCCTTCCCGTGTAAAATAGACATGTTTTTTGTCTTGTTTTTGTAGAGCGATAAGGTGAAAACACAAGAGATTTGGTTTGGTTTTCAGATCTGGTAATCATATGCTGGGATTTGCATTGCCAAGTGAGAAAACAAATTCATAAAGGCTTGTTTTATTTATTACTGATATGCATAATTTGGATCATGGAATAAGGTTACTTTGACAAAGTCAGATTCAAAGGATTTGAATGTCTGTCCGTGAGTGGTACCTTGTCCTAAAAAGGATGATCAGTGATTCTGTACCAACGTATTGGCAAATTCAAATGCAATAAAATAAACTGATATGAAACCTCAGGCGTATCAAAACTAGGGAAGTCTTGGCGATGGAACTTGAAACCATTTTAAACCCACTAGAGTTGGGTTTTCTGCACAAACTGCAGATAATGTAAGCTTGTCAAAATGTTCATCCTGGCTTGTGTTCCTTCTAAGTGAACCTATGTTAACAGCTGTTTTCTTGCTTTTATTGTGAGGATTGATTCATGCTTGTCCTGCTCAGGTTCTATAGCTAATGAATGGTCCTGTTGAATTTTAGTTACGCTGTCTTACCCAGAGATCTGTCAACACCATTCCTTTCCCTATTTTTCTCCAAAGTTTCAAGAAAAACTCATTTTTCCTGAGTGCTTAGAGATCACAGCTCTCTGCATATTGATAAGCTCACCAGATTCAAGTTGGGATGCTATACTGAAGTGCTTTCCTATTATCAATAAAACAAAGGCACCATTGTGGAAGATAAGACGATAAAATGCACAGCTCAGTTCATATACCTGCAATGGTATTTGAACTCGCTTCTCCTCAGCTATCCCTCTCCATCAAATATACTCTGTCACTACAAATTTCTGAGCAATTGCAGACACACTGTTGGGGAAAAAAAACCAAACCCCAAAAAGCAACAAAAAAAAATAAACAAAGCAATTTCAGAATTTCTTCCTCCCAGTGTAGAATTTCCTACCTGGAAACCCATGCTGGTGAAAACCCAGCCGTCATCCAGATCTGAGTCTCAGTTCCGATAGGCGTTAACAGTGGCGGCTGTAGTGTGAGAATCCTGCAAGCCTGTGTAGCATGAAGACTTTGTGACTTAGGTGACTTTTCTTTTTAAAAGATGACTTTAAAAAATGTGCTATGGCTCATGCACCTGAAATTGTCAACGTAGAGCTTGAAAACTGATCCCGCAGGGAATGTTTTTTATGAATCACTGAAAAGGAAAGTGATGAAACTGTGTAAAGTATCAGTGACAGCTATGATTCATAGCTTCTGATTAAAGCAATGCAGGACGTGTAACAGTATGCAGACAGCAGCTTAGATACGGAAATGCAAAAATATTACAAAGGATATTCCTAAAAGCAATTTTCAGGCAGGTATTAACCTCCAAAGTGACTCAGAATATGGTCACCTCTGAGATGATTTAAATTATCCAAGGAGATATGGTTTTTGTGGATTGTTATTTTGTGGGGCTGTTTCTTGTTTTCAGAAGTCAAGCTTTTTTCTTTTCCTTCAGACCTTAGTGCTTCTATAAATGTGATCCTTTTCCCTTTCTGTTATTTTTCAGGGAAATACTGTATTTGCTGCCTCTTACCATTATTGGAATAGAAGCTGAGAAGCAGGAGACATGTTGGAAACAATTGGTAATCTTTTTTCATTTGTATCACTATATTTTTGTGGTCAAATCAAGTGTGCGTGATAGATTTAGGACATTGGTATATACTGCTGAGAGAGATTTTGTAAAACATATCTACTGTGCTTAGAAATATGATGTATTTGGGTTTTTGTATTTTGTATTTAAAAACAAAAGGTGTACCATCATTTGTTTAGTGTATTTAATTTTTAGCATGTTGTCTTGATTTCATTGTTTTAATGTTTACTAGAATTAAAAAAGTTCATATGAAAAAGACAAGTGTTAATGAGGACTCTTTCACTTTTGTAACGCAGTTCTTGATGGACAAAAATGTAATTTTCGTTGGCTTCTGGTTTGTGCTCAGCCTCTGACTTCCTGATTCATTAGACATGTTTGGGCTGGGATTTTTGTTCAGAACTGAACCATTCAAGTCCTCTGTAGTTTAAGCAGTAGAGAGGGATACATTTCAACTTGTTACCTGCTTGTATGTGGCTGTTTATAAACTGCTCCTGACTAGGAATGATTATTGCTACAGATACACATCGGGCCCTCCAGGCCATGGAGCGCTTGCAGGCAAAACTTCGGGATCGAGGTGACATTGCAAACGAGGAGAAACTGAGCTTACTAAAATCAGTGCTGCAGAGTCCTCTCTTTAACCAAATTCTCAACCTTCAGACTTCTGTTCAACAACTGAGAGATCAGGTAGGAAAAGCAGCCTTCCAGGTGCAAGAGAAAAATTGCTAAGAAGGTGCAAAAATGTGCGTGTCTCCGAATCTTGACTAGTGAAATCAAATAGCCTAAATTAAACGTCTGATCCAAAGCTTCAGGAACTGAGGCGGACATTTTCTGGGCTTTGTTTGTGTATGTGTTTTTTATGTATAAGCTTGTTACTTACGATGTGCATGGTAGGGAAATGGTGATACTGGGTGGGGAGTTAACATAAGGCTTTCTGTCTCTGTCCTTTAAAAAGGAACATGTTTTGTATGAGGTCTTAGGATTTTTTTTCTAGGAGCCTTCTCTTGCTCTCTTGTGTCTTACCCTACTAAAATGAGAATATATAAGGGAAGCTGTGGAATGTTGACTTCAGAAGGACATGACTTTTTTTTTTGTATAGGAATAAAAGATCAAAGAGAAGCAAGAGCTCCTACCTCCTCTTTCTTTGCTCAGGGTTTTAGGTAAAAGTACTACTTTTCTGCATGTCTTTGGTGAGGATGAGAAAAGGGGCAGCAACTCGGCTATATTGACTTCATTATTTAATACTATAATTTAATTTCCTTACAGCAGAATAAGAACTTGAAAAATATAAAAACTAGTTCAGTAACTGAATTAGGACTAAACTGTGTATCTGTCTTTGCAAATAGTTGTTCCTGTTGACTCCTGTGAGATGGGCAGCTCTGTGCTCTGGTACGCAGAAATGCCAAAGTGGGAGGATGCAGCCCCCGCACACTGACCTTATCGTCAGCGTGGAGCCGCATCTGTTCTCTGATCGGATTGAGCTGGTGAGGAGTCCTCACGATCTTGACGCTACTTCAACTGTGTGGCAGAAGAGCACAATTTGGCCCTTTATTGCCTCTTCTGGATCATCTTGATGCTATTTTGCACAGACAAGAAATAAGTTAGAATGGTGTCTACAGTACTATACGTGACCATGTTTTCAGATTTTGCATGTTTGGTATATAGAGACTTGATGACATTGGAGTGATTTAAAAAAATCTAGGGAAAAAAGCTGTTCTGAGGGTTTGTTTGCTCTGCTATTTGAAAAGGAGAATTTAACAGTGACATCCAGAAATTATGTGAATTATGTGGTGATGACTCTGGGAACGTGTAGTGAGAAATGAAAGTGTGCCTGAAGCATTAATGAGAATTTGGTGAAAAGGCAAATTAAACTTTGACTTCCAGACATTAGCTGTGAAGTTAAAGGATGCTTCTCTTTTTAAATACAGTCACCTAAATTAGTAAAATTAGTACTAAAGTAACATTTACTAAATTAGTAAAAATTAGTACCAGCTGCTGCTGGTACTACAGATGGGTAATTTCAGATGTGTATTTTTTAAAAAGCAAATAATAATTTTACCTGCTGCCCTAACCCTGCAGGTTTATCTGCGCAGTAACTTTAGTGGCCTGTGCATGTTGCATGGTACATATCCAGTCTAGTTGACAGAGGAGCTACTTGGGTGTGAATTCCCTTCTTGATATGTGCTTATATGAACACTTGCACATGCAAATGTATGTTTCTGGCCATTCTTAGATTTGGGTCAGCTCTTCAGAAAGTATCCTGTAATTTCTCTGTAGAATCATTTCTTCTTTACAATATAACATGAGATTGTCTGTCTCTTCTTTGCTTTATTTAAATGTTTATAAAGCATATTGAAACAGGACAAAGAATAAAATCATGAAATAGGCAGTCATGTTAAAAAAAAAATATTTCTTGCATTTTCAAAGGCTCAGTTTTGTTCAACGTCACTTTTTAGTTTTCTTTTTATGGTTGGGAAGGCGCTGTGCTCTTGAAACTCTTAAACTACAGGTTGGTGAAAACTGCAAGGCATGTGAATAGCGACCAGGCTTTTTGGCCAAGCCATGCCAGATTGAGGAAGGAGACAAGTTGTTTCCCAAAAAAAAAAATATTTCTTGCATTTTCAAAGGCTCAGTTTTGTTCAACGTCACTTTTTAGTTTTCTTTTTATGGTTGGGAAGGCGCTGTGCTCTTGAAACTCTTAAACTACAGGTTGGTGAAAACTGCAAGGCATGTGAATAGCGACCAGGCTTTTTGGCCAAGCCATGCCAGATTGAGGAAGGAGACAAGTTGTTTCCCAAGCACTTGGAGTCAGAGCTATGTTTGAGACAGCATGACAAGTCGTGCTGAGCTGTGCAGTGGCTAGGTGTTGCAGTCTCTACCCACTCGAGACTAGGATGGCTAAATTTTTTTGATGTTTCACAATGAGCTGCACTGAAAGTTGAACGGGCGTCTGTTTCTTCTCAAGGTGAGGTGTAAGTGACGGTCTGTTAAACGGCTCCCGTGTTTTTAATTTTATGAGTTTTTAAAGAGCTACAAGACTATTGCAAAATTCTCAGGAGAAGGCCATCTTTTAGGAAAGTATAGGTTGAAAGAGAGGATGGGAGCAGAGAAGCAATAATGGCAATCTACTTTCTAAGTCAAACTGGTTCCTTGCAAGCATCCCAGCAGAAGTAGGTCACTAAGTGAGACCTCCTTGTAGGCCTGTAGTGGCCTCAATAAATTTGAGGGTAGGATGTGTTCCTGTCTTGAGGCACTGTGTCTGGAAGGCATAGAGATGATAGTGAGAGCCCCGTCTTCTGTTTGTGCAGTGAGTCTGGAAAATGAGCTGGCAAATAGTGTAAACATTTGTCATGTTTTCCTAGCAAAAAATAGGATGCAAATATACAGTTTTAGCAGAGAAATACTCCTTGCATTCCAGTGAGTTACTACCATTTTTTATAGTCTAAAATAGTAGACTTCCTTTTCTTTCTTTTCCTACAGATAAATGATCTTTTAAGCACCAAAAGAAGATCTGAAAAAGTGTGTGTTTCTGCATGCATGGAGGTGTTTCAGATTTGCTGTCCCATTTCCTTAAAGCTTCTGTGTGTTAATTGGAAGTTGATCCCCTTCATTGTTGGTGTGTGCTTTACACGAGCCTCTTGAGTTTGCATTTGTGTTACATGCAGTGGTGTGGACTGAGTGGTATGTTGCTTCATCTGGATGTTGGTGAGGCATGATGCTAAAGTCATCAAATCTGATGCTTTGGTGCTTATTGGTGGGTGCTTTAAAGTTTTTTTTCTTAAACAGGCAAGCAGGATTTGTTTGTACTGCAAGTCTGTCACTGCGAAGTTAAGAACTGGAGTGGGAAAGGTCTAGGGACAGCAAAGGGATGTTTTTTTGAGAATTACTGTCCTGACTTCACTAGTCACTTGAGTTGAGGAGCACTGAAGGAACCCGGGGTTTTTTTGCCTCTTCGTATCCTTGTTCTTCAGTGAATGCTTATTTTCTCATGCTGAAGAGCAGTCTCGTTGTTTGAAGATAAGGGAGTGATAGAAAAGAAGCATAGAGATTGTGATGTTTTGAACTTTTCAATAATATTTTCTTTTCTTTGAAAAATATTTTAAAGAAAATGCTCAGACTGTGCTGGCAGTCCTTTCCTGCTTCTCTTCCTTTCCTTTTTGCCTCTCCCTTGTCCACCTCCTCCTCCCCTCCTCCCGCCTCCACTCACTCCGGGCTATCCTTGTTCTTCAGTGAATGCTTATTTTCTCATGCTGAAGAGCAGTCTCGTTGTTTGAAGATAAGGGAGTGATAGAAAAGAAGCATAGAGATTGTGATGTTTTGAACTTTTCAATAATATTTTCTTTTCTTTGAAAAATATTTTAAAGAAAATGCTCAGACTGTGCTGGCAGTCCTTTCCTGCTTCTCTTCCTTTCCTTTTTGCCTCTCCCTTGTCCACCTCCTCCTCCCCTCCTCCCGCCTCCACTCCACTCAGGGCTCTGCCAGAACAAAATACCCTTGCCTTGGCTGGGCTGCATTCCTCAGATTTTTTTTGCTTGTGAGTTTGACCGTAGGTTTTCGTTCACAATGCAGTAGAGGGGAAGGAGTTCCCCCTGCAGCGCAGCACACACTGGGTTGCATGGGATGGCTGGGTGTCAGCACTAGAGTTGATTTAGGGAAGAAATGGAGAAACTGTGTCTTTTCATATTGCCTGTGAAAACTCGCTTAACTCTGTGGGTTGTACAACTAGGGGACACCTTTAGTTCCTGTCCTGAACCGCTTTCTGCAACAATGCCGTTTGCTCCATGTTCTGAAATGAAATGCTTATAAGAAATGCTAATTGGAAATCTGCGTCACCTGCCCCGAGGATGGAGACGTAAAGGAGCAGCCAGCAGGGCGGTGCTGGAGCAGTGCCGGTGCCAGTGCCAGTGCCTGTTCTCGGGGAGCCTGGGGGGAGCCTGGGGGCTTTTGCTGCGGCGCGGGGAGCGCCTGGCAGGGCAGGGTGCCTGACAGTACTCTCCTCACTGCCGCCTCCCTGCAGGGCTCGCACGGCGGCTGGCTTGCGCTTCGTTGCTTCCAGTGCGGTCACTGTTGCAGCTGACCTTTTTGCTACTCGGGACACCTGGCAGTCAGCTGAAGTACTGTCCTGTGCTTCTTGGGGTCTCCAAGGGCCGGGGCTCAATGGCTGGAGTGCAGAAACACCAAGAATTTGTTCTTGACCAAGTTGAGACCTAGCAATGCCAATTACATTGCTTTAAATGTTGATGCATTACTGACATGGCTTGGGTAGCACCTTTTTTGTTAAAAAAATATTTTGAGCAGCTGCATGTAAGCACTATTTGATTGCATTTAGTGTCTATCTGTGTGACTGTTACGTAAGTTTTATCATACTCAGTGGTATTTGTGAATTTTTCTTTTTGTCTTATGCCAAATTATGTCCACATTGCAGATGTTACATACAGTAAGGAGAAAGCCAATCAAGGAAAATTAGTATAAGCCAAATTATAAAACAAAAATCAATATTCTTTCATACGGTACTTACACAATCACAGTGCTATAAAGCTAATTCTTGATGGAATTACGGTGATTTTATTACTGCAAAGTAGTGCAATTTATATGTTATGAAAAATATTTCATGCAACCACAAGAGCATCATCTTTCTAAAATTTCCACTTGTGGTTTATTGCTCCCCCTGGAATGACCTATACTTCTGCGGTTAGCAAGAATATAAACCAGTTGTTCTCAACTCTTTACGTGCTATAAGCCTGTATTTCGGGGGGGGGACAGGGAAGAGAGTGGTTGTCACGTTTTTGCTTTTAATTTGGCTGGGGATTCTGAACTTCTACCTTCAGGATCATTAGAAATGTCATTATGAAACAGAAATGTTTTAAAGTGTAAGTGTGTGTTATGGGAGAGAAAACATTCTGAAATCTAAGTTTTTTGCACACACACATACACAAAACTTTATCCTGTTAACAGCTTGACATTTTTTCTTAGAGTTTTGTTTTTTTCTTGGAGTTTCACAAGTCAGAAGCCACTTTATGTGAGGTAGGCTTCCCATGTTAAGCACATGCCCCATTAAACGTATAGCTGTGTTTCTTTAAAAAAGGTGTGATGAAAATAAGGTGTTGCTATCAATTGCTATTGAAGAGGTGTTGTTTGATACTGCATTGTAGCTGTGCTGTAATCACAGTTGTACTGAAGATTTGAGGTGAAGCTTTTTAAAGTTCTAGTTAAACTGGTGTGGATTGGAGGGTTATTTTTGTCTTTTCCTGCTGTGTATAGAATGCAGCACTTCTTTTCAGTGGTATTTCAACCATCATGCAAATAAAAACCACCCAGTCTCTTCAGAATAATAGAGTTAATACTTAGTTATGGAAAATGTTTTAGGAAAACATGAACAACTTTCATCTTCTGGTTTGGAAGGCAGGAGGAATGGGAGAGGTCAGTCAATTCCTATATGTTTGCAGTGATGTTCCAGCTCATACAAGTATGCAGAAGGGATGAAATGTCAGACTGAGAAGGTCGGCACTATATTGCCAGTTTGAACAGGGTTTGGTCTATAAAAGTATACAATGTAAAACTAAAATATGAATCGGCCTGGTGCTGCTTCTATTTTAGCATGGCAATGTGTGAGTTTTCTACCAGAGAGAAAAACGTAAATCCTTAAGGAGACTGTAATATCTTAATTGAAGAACTCCTTCAAACTTACCTAGAGAAGAAAATGGTGATACTGGGCACATGTTCAGGTGGAAGTTAATGTGCCCATCATGGCTAGCCTGCCATTTGAACATTACAAACAGTGAAATGAGCTGCCTAAAGCAATCCTCTGTTACGCAGAGGATTATACTAGCAGAACATATATAGAACATAGTACAGGATGAGCACAGAGCTCCTTTGCATACTGAAGGTTGTGCTGTATGGGATATTGAGTGGTACAACAAGTATTTTAGATTCAGAGAAGGCATATAATATAATTCATCGTAAGGGCAATGTGTCATACTCAATAAACTTTTATTTATTAGGGCAGTTCAGTGCTATTTTCTAGAATGAGCACTGTAATTTAGAAGATGAACATGTATCCATGACTCACTAACATTTGTGATATCAGACCCATATACTATAGCCTGTGAGTACACAGGAGAAGTAGTTTGGGTTTGCATCTCATATACTCTTAGGCGGCTTTATCTTGCTGTGGAAATGTGAAAATGTTTTTAAATAGAAGCAGTGCAAGACTGGCTAATTACAGTGGTGTTAGATAGTCTTACAAATAATAATTTGACCCATGACAGTTTTTTGCAGGAAGGAACATGACAGGGGGATGTATAAGATTTGAAGGTGGAAGAGAACAAGAAATGAAGCACATTAATTGACCAAGTTCAGTGATATACTTTTATACATTGAAATGGGTGACATTGGGAAGGTGGAAGTGAATTAACCTGTTTTATGGACTCAGGCAGATAAGAAATGCAGTATGGCATAGATATTAGTTTCAAATCCATGCATATAATGTGAGGGGAAATCTTGCATTCATTGAAGGGCAGAATTTGATTATATCTCTGGGTGGTGTTAAGTGTAATGAACTATGGAACAAGGCTTGTCTACCTGTGCCTTACAGGCTTGCTGAAATGACTGTATGTGATTAAAGAAAGTGCATGTGTGCACATTGTAAGCATCACCCAAGAGATTCCTCACAGATATAGGCAACAGAACGTAATCACCATGTGATGGAAATCACTGAATTCCAAACATCCTGGTTTTCCTCTTTCCAGTTTGTTATGGCAGAGCCGGTTAAGTGCTGTTGAGGACTTTTCTTTCCAGTGCTGTCTTGTGGGTTTTTTTTTCTGTAACTTGAGGATCTTCCCAGGCACATAAGGTGTTCAACAAATGATGTTCGTTCCATTATATTTTCCTAAAGCACCCAGATGAGAGGGAATTAGGTGATGGAGAACAATACTGACCTTTTAATGACTGGACTGTTGGGAGAATGATATGATAAACCTAATGGAAGTAGCATGCTTAAACAGTTGAGACTGGTGCAGTAGACATTTTAGAATACAGTTACAGTTTTGAATGATACTTGAAGTTTAAAAATAAGGGTTCAAGGAAGGGGAGTCCCAGTCTTTTGTATTGTGGTGCAGAATGCTATAAAATTTTCACTGTGAAACTATGAAAAGTATTTGAGGCTGCAATATTGTGGTCTTAAATTGTGGGTTAGTGTGCCAGGCAAGTATGAAACAGATTGATGTGGAGTAAAACAGTGCCTGTTGACAGTCAACAGGCAAGTGGGACAACAGCCAAATGAGGGCTCCTGCTTCACCTGAGCGTTCTACCACCACCAGCCAGTCATTAGATTGGTCAGCAGAAATGTGCTTGAAAATAGGTAATTTAATATGGCTGGGCAAAGCGGAGAATTTTCTTATTTTCTTTTCTGCTCTAAGAGAAGTGTATTGTCAAGGCTGTCTGTGTAAAGGTATGACTGTGGTTTTCAGATCAGCCTGGTGATTTTAGACTTGTTCAGTAATTTTGTATTTAATTCTAGCTCATGAGAGAGTCACAATGGCAGCCATAGTGCATAGTGATGCAGAAACACTGACCAGTGCAGTTTGTTCCCTATGTAGCTGGTGAGGTTTCTTCCTTTTTTCATCAAAAATGCACATACTTTTTTTTTATATTTTCTTGTAAAATAATTGATAAATTTGTTTTTAAAAATACTGGTACTGTAGGAAAAGCTTGTTCATACTGTTTACCTCTACCATTGTGTTGGGGTACTTCAAGCTGCTATGCTGATATGAACAAAAGAATTTTAGGCAGAGTATGGAAAATAATTTTAGATTATTTTCATCAGGTTCTTTCATGTTTTATGCTGATAATTCACAACTTTACATTGATGATAAATATTAAAGATAATTCTTCTTTTTAAAATGTCTTTTTAAAATTGCAAGTTGGGTTTTCAAACATTTTTAACAAGCAGTTGGCCTATCATGATGCTCTTGGATAAGGAGGAGGTTTCTGCTTTGTCTATAAATTTGTGTTGCCATCAATCTTTTACAGGTAAATATTACACCTTCCATACATTCCACTGGTGAATTCCCCCAGCTTCTCCATCATGGTGTGAACGTGGGGTCCTTGCCACATAATGAGTCATATTTGTTGGCTCAGCAGAATGGCAGTCCAGCTAATGTGCTAGAAGCATCGATGAGATCCATTACTCCTCAGATTAATGGAAAGTCCTCTAATGATGACTTCGAGCAGCTGATCAGAAATATGTCCCAGGTAAGCATGTCGTTTGGTAACCACGAAATGTGGATCACTGATTATCTGGAATATTAAAATACATGTATGTTTATTTAAAAGCAATTGAGTTGTTCAGCAAACCAGAGCTCACTTGCTATATAAAACAAAAATAACCTTTTAATTTGAGGAACAATTGGTAAATGAGAAAACAGTTGGAATAGTAGCCTTGACATTGTCACTGCTGAGTTATTGTCGTTAGCTGGGCAGTGTGCCTCTCACAGGTCAGCGTGTCATCTTTCCACGCTCATGGTAGGACTGCTGCTCTGTGGGTGAGGGAGGTGCTTTGTCAGAGCATGCTCTTGTATGTGTAACTGATGAAAGCTAGTTCTGTGACTTGCTTGGAAATAAGATGGAAAATTCCTTTTTGGCCTTGCTGTGCATTGTTCTGTAATCTTACTGCTTTGCCGTGGTAGGCAGAAATGGTGTATGAGTCCCTTTGGTGGCTGGAGCTGAGAACGGCCAGGCAAATATTCTAGCATTTTTCTGATTAACCTGTAATAAAGCCAGATAGGGGAAGTCTCCTGCTGTTCTCCTGGAGAGCCTTTTGCACAGTCCTACTTTTTCCCTCTTTCTGAAAATCTGTCCTCTTTTGTAGTTCTGCTTGAGAGTTGGCCTGTACCCTCTAAAATTTTATAGATACATATATCCTAGTTTAGTCACTACTAAGCCTAAACTCTGTATATTTAGCTGTTGTTTCCTGATTTCCTCTTCTGGGCTGTAATAATCTTTATTTCTCAAATCTTTCATAATTGTCACTTTTCTGTATGACAGCGAGAAATCAGAACTGAACAACTATGTTTCAGTTATTAGCTAGTGTAGCCTTGTCCTGCTGTAGCTGTCAAATTAGAAACTCATTTCCAAGTTGTTTACCACATGCATTAATGCTGCTTTTCAACATTTTTAACATTTGTACCCTTTTTTTTCTGCTACTGAACAGGGTCGTCTTGTTGAGACCATTGAGCTTATTAAACCTTTAAGTGGTGGTCTGGGCTTCAGTGTCGTGGGACTCAAGAGTGAAAACAGGGGAGAACTAGGAATATTTGTGCAAGAAATCCAGGAGGGAAGTGTGGCACATAGGTAAGATTACTACTGGAATATTTTACTGTACCAAGTGTTAACATGACACTGCAATTTAGTTGTGTTATTGCTGTTGTTCTTGTGGTACGAGGGCACGTTTCTCTTGTATTCTAAGCCATACGTCATAGCAGATTTAAAATTACTTATCACTACAATTTATGTAATGTTGGAACAGGGCAGCGTATTATCTGTTCTGAATTTTGAGAAACTACAGATGTAGTTTCTCTGTGGTTTGTTTATAATATCTCCTTTCCAACAGGGAAAATGGGGAGGTTACTGTTCTGTGTCATGGCTTTTAAAGCTGAAATACAGATTTTGCTGTCCTTGAATGCACTGAAAAACAATTTGGTGCGAAAAAATCGGTTGTAACCAGCAGGGTTGTTTGTTAGGTAGGGTCCCACCGAGCAGGTGTGAAACGCAGCTTTTAATCAAGCAAGGCTTGACCTAAAGTTGTTAGACTCTTAAAAAGAGATATTCAGCTGATGTTACCAGAAACTCAGCAATAATAATAATAACAATAATAGCTTGCTGAAAGTATGCTTTAGACTTTAATCCTGATTCCACAAGTAGTGTTAAGAGAAATGGATTTCTGCTGTAAGAACAGCCCAAGGGAGCAAACAAACTCAGTGGTGAATGGCAGCAGCGCTGGTTCACTGCAGACTCGTGGGGTGTATCACTGTGTGTGGATTTGCTGATCAGGATCCTGGCCAGAGCTGCTTTGTGGTGTACTCTGTATGTTGTGTGGGGCAGCTGAGTCATGTCGGTGCTGTTTCTCACTGTGCTGTAGGGAGAACTTTTCTGATTATTTGTGCTCTGAACACTGTCCTTTTAACAGAGGGCAGAGCGTGGCCTACAGAGTTAATTCAGGTATGAAAAGTGTCCTGCTCTATGTCATTACAATATTTTTCAATCTGACTAAATTCTACTTTCTTCTGTTTTCTTTTTTCTTCCTTCCCCTTCAAAAGGCCTTTGCTTTTACTTCTCTTATTCCATGGAGTTGAGACCTGCCTTTACTGAATCGGGCCCTGCTCGATTCACTGGCGAGAAGAGAAACATTCAACAATGTTACAGGGCTCATAAATCAGAAAGGCCCTGGCAGTAATAAGTCTTCAAGAGCACTCTGAAAAACAGTTCAAATTCACAAGTGAAATATTATGGGTTGAAGCTAAACAGTGTTTTTCCTGAATGCTGTTGAGTACCTTGGCTTCTACGCTGTAGGCGCTCACAAAAGCTGGTGCGATAGGGATCCTTGTTTTTCTTGCTGCCCTTTGTTTTCAAAGCACTGCCACTTCAGGATGCTGATGACAAGACTCCAGAGTTTTTGCTGGGTTGTTGCAGAAGCAGTAGAAGTGGTGGAGGAGGCAGAGGGTAACTCATCTGTATAGGCTTCATACACTTCCTTTGAAGTAGTGCTGGGGAAGGGCTCAGTATGTAATTTTATAGTAGTGCTTCCTTTGTCAGAAAGTGAAGAGTTATTTTTTAATTTGTTCAGGGCTTTTTTCCCCCTCATTTAAAAGGGATCTGTTTTATCATTTTCTTTCTGTTTCTCTCCCCGCCTCCCCTTGCGGTTGTGGAGACAAAGGAGGGGGGAGATTTATAAAATGTGTTTTTTTTTTTTTTTTTTTTTCTCCCCGCCCCCCCTTTTTTTTTTTTTTTTTTACAAAATTTGTTTCTGTAACATCTTGATGAAAATGTGTTCCACTCCATGGTTTGATGAATATTCAGAATGGGCACACTGAACAAAGTGGAGCACTTGGTCTGTTAAGCAAGAAGCTCAAAGTCAAGAATAAACATAAGTTCCCAGGCTATGGTTGGGAGCGACTGAGATCTAATATGCTTAGTCTCGCATGGGGGTACAAGGAGAAGGAAGCTAGCTAGGGGGTAGTAGCCAAGGGAGAGTGGCAGTGGGATTAGCTTCAAAGGAAGCGATCACCAGGGTGCCGCATCAACTCCTTGCAGCAAAACTGCAGGGAGAGATTAAAAAGTGGGGGAAATAGAGAACAGGTTATTAAATGTACTGGAAAATTGTCAAAATATTGTAATTTCTGTGGCAACACTTCTTTGGTTTTTCTTGTTTGTTTATTTTGTCGTCCCCTTTCCCTGTTTACACATACATGACAGAGATGGAAAGCTGAAGGAAGCAGATCAAATCCTTGCTATTAACGGACAAGCCCTTGATCAGACAATTACACATCAACAGGCTATCAGCATCCTACAGAAAGCAAAAGATAATGTCCAGCTAGTTGTGGCCAGGGGCGCTTTCCCTCAGCTCATCAGTCCTGTAGTTTCCCGGTCTCCATCTGCTGCTAGCACAGTTTCAGCCCATTCCAACCCGGTGAGTACACCCCAAACCTCTGTGTATTCAGTTCTGGGCATGTATGTGCTTACTGCATCTAGTATTTTGAGACATTTTTTATAACTTGTGTGTACGTTTCCTTCACAGTTCTTGAGGTTTTTCTTCTATTTATCTCTGTTGTACCTTTTCCCATGCAAAGAGTAGAAAATATTCAGGCTTTCGGGGGGGGATCTTGATCTTGGATGTATTCCTTCTTCCCATCTGCCAAATTCTCTGTATCCACCAATGCAAATACAGCATGTTTACCTTACTTTATGAAGCTTTATTTTGAGATAGCAGTAAACAGGATCTTTTTTTCTCTTTGCCTTCTACTTGGGCAAACAGAAATTTTTGAGGCATTGCAATCTGATCTGCACCACCAGCTGGATGGGTGCTTCTCTGTTTGTTTCTCTGTTGTTTGTTAGCGGTGGGGCTCAAGTAAAGCAACAAGAGAGAGCCATCAAAATGCCATGTGTAGGGACACACTTTAGGACCCCCAGAAAACAGCTCTGCTGTTTCCTTTCTTTTGAAAGCTTTTGCACATCTAGGTGTAGAGAACATAGCTCTGAAATGCTGTGATACTAACTGCACTTTCTCTTCCTGGTATCTTACTCATGTAATGGCTTGTCCTGGGATGAAACGGCCTATCTTCGGTTTCTGTAGGTTTCGCTGTTCAGTCATCTGTGGCTCTTCTTTAAGGGAGTCGATAATCAGAAGTATACAGAGCAATCAGTCTAGAAAAAGCACCTATTTTAGTGTTTATTTTAATCATTAGCATAAAACCTTTAGTGAAGAAATTTCAGAATCTTTTCTTCTGTGGACAGGAATAAAGCTGATTGGCCTGTCTTTTCTTGTCCCCACATAGGAGAGGCCTGCTCTCTTCCAGTATTCCCGTGACACACTTCTTTCTCTATGTGATTGCCTCTGTATTCTCCAAACAGCTTCCCTTGCTTGAAAAAATGTTCCTTTCAAACCTGCCACAGCTTCTTCTGTTTTTTCATGCATGCCTTTCCCAGTCCTTGTGTTCCTTTCGCTTTCAAATGCTGGGGGAAAGCAGCTTATCTGGAGCCGTTCTTTTTTCTTCAGGTTTTGCTTGATCATCATTGGTTTATGTTAAGACTGCAGATTCCCAAACAGATACTACAGGGCTTTGAATTTGCAGTACCTTGATTATTCCAAAATAACTGCTTATTTTCAAATTCCTACGTGGTGGAGCACCAGCTGCAGTTTTAAATTTCAGATGAGCTTACGGTGTGGTTTGTTCTTCGGGAGAAACAATACCAGGAGCTTCCAGTTGTCCCTTCAGTACCACCCCACGTGAGCGAGCTAGCATTTGTCTTTCTTTCAGAGCAGTTTTACTCCTGTCAGAACATGAAGCCTGCCATCAGAGCTACTTCATTCCAGTGCTGTTGTCATCAGACAACCCAGAAATCTTTGTTCATTACACAGGGGACAATTCTGCTAATGCCTACCTCGCAATACCTGGTACTGCTTTCAGCTTTAACATCTGAATTGGTTTATGCTTTCTCCTGTGCTTTGTTATAATGGCCGATGTGAACATGCACTTATCTGAAGATTTTAATTTCCAGTCCTGTGAGATTTCCTAGCAGCAGTATTTTTCTCACTGACTACAGTGGGGCATGGAGGTGGACAGTCCTAGGTTGGTGCTTAAATTCATTCAGCAAGTTCTTGAAAGGCCTGATCCACTACCCAGCTCTGGTTTGTACCGGAGAAATTGCATTTGTTATGGAATGAGCAATTTATTGCTTAAATATTATGTAATCTTATACCTAATAGTAATTTTTAGAAGGGTCCTATATTTCCACCTTCCTCCCACCCTCCTTTATGCAAAAACATACCCAAGAAATGAGAGAAAATATTTTGCAAGTTTTAATATGTATGTCGTTATTTTAATAATTTGCAAGCTTGTATTTATTCCTTTTAGGTTCACTGGCAGCATGTGGAGACCATTGAGTTGGTGAACGATGGCTCAGGTCTGGGATTTGGGATAGTGGGAGGAAAATCAACTGGAGTGATTGTTAAAACCATCCTCCCAGGAGGGGTGGCTGATCAGGTAAATTCAACCTACCCTTCTGTTTACCGTTCAGTAAAATGTGAAGTCACTCTTTACTTTTATAATCATGCTAAGTAGTGGTAGCTTTTTTCCTCATAAGTGTAAAAAGAGAGAGCAAGTGGTGAAATTTATCCTCAGTAAAGGTGTGTTTAATGCAGGGCATCTGTGCATTTGCATGTAAAAGCTGGATTAGGCTCTAAATCACATTTTTCAAACCTGTTAACATTATACATGTTTGGTGCAGATGCATTTAGACTCCTAATTCTTTCATTAATATACTGGTTAGTATATTAATCCAGGGGTGGGGGGGACACCAAACATGTGCTTTGCCCAGACAGCTAAGAAGAGCATCTGCTTGTCTCCTCGCTGGGCTTACTGGAGCTTGGAGCAGGTATGTGGCTTCATGCATCTGCTTCAGCACACGGGCTCTGCTCCTGCCTGAAGGGCTCATGTGAATAGAATTTGGTGATCACAGCCCATTTCAAGCTTGTCCATTGCACAAGCATCTAGGACGGCATTAATGATGGTCAAGGATTGAATAGACACAGAAACTGGTCAGTCTTCCAACCACAGAAGAGGTAGCCCGATAACAGGGACTGGAGATGCATGGACAGGATTTACTGCCTCACTCCTTCCCTGAGCAGGTAGATGAGTTCCTTTTATAGACCTGTCTCTTTAATAATTTTTGTATGGACTAAATTCACATGAACCTTTTTTATTGGTTAAAGGTAAATCATTAGGAGAGTAAACCAGTGTAAAGCAATATAAATAACTGGATCACAGTAAGGGAGAAATATATTTTATTTTGACGTTACGGTTACTTCTGAGGACCAGTTCTTAAATAGAAGTGTAAAGCTGAATATACGTTTGTATGCTGTCTTTTGGAAGTGTGTTTGGAAATGAAACCTGAAGTTCTCTAATCTACATGCAGTTGTTAAATACCAGTAGGTAGTAACTATACTGCATATATAACTATATGCATTTTTTCCTGTGCTAGTGTGACTGACTGCTTGAAAAAGGATGTCCTGGATATTTCCGGGGGATTTTTTAGTAAAATTAGTGTGCCATTAGGCAACCTACTTTTCTTCTCCATGTTATCAGGATATTGACTTGGCACCCAAAAAAAGTCACCTGGTTCATATGTCTGAAAAGTGACTAAAACTATGCGGTCTTTTTCTAATTGTATGGTATGTGGGAGAAATGGCAGGACATTAATAGATTTTTTTCATCATTATTCTTCCTCCAGCATGGGAGATTGTGTAGTGGAGACCATATCTTGAAAATTGGGGATACGGACCTGGCTGGAATGAGCAGTGAGCAGGTGGCACAAGTTCTGAGGCAGTGTGGAAATCGAGTGAAACTGGTAATTGCAAGAGGTCCCATTGAGGAGGCACCTCCACCAGCAGTCCCTCCAGGTACACCAGTACCCATCTCCACACCAGAGAAACAGGTAAGCAACAGTGAATATAATTCACTCATGGCAAACTTCTACTTCAAACTTCCTTTTCTTTTAACTGCTATTTGAATGTCTTTCACGGTTATGTTCTCAAAAGCCAGGATTTTCTTTCCCAGTAGTGGTGTTCCCAGCTGACAGTCTGGGAGAATTTAAATGTCATGAGTCCACAATGCAAGGAACTATATGCTTGAAGCCTTTTGAGATCAAGGCTTAGGACTTCCATAAGTATGATCTGAATAACTTCTGCTTCTGGGTTGCTTGTGGTTGTGCAGTAATACATTGGGAACAACCGAAACGATGCAGTCTTTTCTTCAGACAGAGCAAGCTGGCTCTGTAGTATTTCTCTGTCTGCCTGTCCTTTTCCTCTCCAGGAACATTTCTTATTTCCATATCATTGCAGCCATCCATCAGACAGTTCCTCCCCGTGCCAACCAGCACACAGATGCTGCTTCTTTCCTACATCACCTGGCATTGCTCACTTGCTAGACATCTTCCAAAAAAAGTCAGCCAGCTGCTACCCTTATTCCCCTGCTGATGATTGTACTCTGTGCTGTTACTCCTCTACAACCGTCAGCCACTTAAAAAATGCTGTAAATTTTATCATGTCTTGTCAGCTCAAAACCTCTACAAAATAGGTCATTTGCATGTTTGCAGCGAAGCCTGGTTTCATGGGAGCCAGGAATAGTAGTGTTTTGTCACACATAGTTATGACCAGATACATTTAAATGAGAATACGTGGAATAAGTGAATGAGAGAAGAAAAAGGTGGTTGTTTTTGAGCCTACAACTAGATCAAATTTATGCCTTACAAAGAATTTTTTATTTTACTTTTTCCTGTTGTTTTTCTAGACATTTTCTTCCCAGTTACAAATTACATTTCAGATAGGTCAGTTCAGAAGAAAAAAAGCCTTAACAATTTTTGCATGATTACCATTTTTTTTGCCTCTGTCCATTGTAGTGGTGTCTGTGGAAAACAAACATATATTCATTTCCTCTTTTGTGTCTATACGGCAAAGAAAGTTAATCTTAACATGGAGTCTTCTGAGCATCTAAGAGGAGAGACAGACTGGTACTTCTGTGTCTCTGCAGCACTCAGTGGCATGAAAACCTGTCTGTATTTTAGATAAAGGGGTCAATATTTAGCCTGAATATTATTTATCTGAAAAGCAGCAGTCTTAAAAGAGATGCTGAATTTGATAATTTCATCTGTGTATATTTCTTCAGTATTTGCCTTTCTGGGGTTATATGATGCGATGTTGAAGGCCGTATCTGCAGCTGCAGGATGTATAGGATTTCTAGTACCGAGGAAATAGCTCAAAGCCACCAAGTGGCAAAATTTGACTTTTTTGCAACCTTCCTCCCATCGTTTTCAATACCTCGTTCCTGGTACCTCTCTCCTGCAGGAGGCAGGCTATTTTTAAACTGCTTCTGCCTGCACAAAGTCTTGTTCTTGGAGGGAGCACCCGGTTAATGGTGCTGCAAGCCTCGTTAATTAGGGTCTGGGGTGAAGATGATGATGGAAACAGCTTGGTTTGTCTGTTTCTTCCTGGCAAATACAGGGTGGGTGAAGACTTCATGATGCTCTTAAAGCTATTAGTGAGAGCAGAATGGCTTTCCAAAATGTGCACTTCTCATCATATCCCCTGTAGATGTCGATCCTGTAAAAAATTCATGAGGTTATGGAAATTTGAGCAGTTTTTTAGTGGCATTACCCGTGGCCAAAATAATCTTGTATTATCAAGCACAGAGGTAGTTAAAGCAGTAGACATTTATTTTTCTTGTGTTTGATTGTGGTTTTGGGTGGAGTTGTTCAGATAAAGAACTGAAGTCAGATTCTCTTTCGGCAAGCAGCATCATAGCTCTCCTGAATTCTTTTTTTTGGCACATGCATACTCATCTAGTCAAACTGGGTTTAGTTAGTACCTGCCTGGATGCCATATTGGCACTTTAAAAAATATTAGGTGCTACTTGTCATGCAGAAGATACAAAATAAAATAGGAGTGTATAATGATCTTGATAGATTTGTACTATATTTATGAATTCCTGTTTTAAATAGGTGCATAGATACTGATGTCCATATAAATACAATGAAATTTATGCCTTGTATATGTTATCATATACTGATATATATCAGCTATGGAAGTGGCCAGTAAGTATCTGTTTTAGACAGCTGAAAGATGACAAATTTTTAAAAAAGCTTTTTTAAAGTTGAAATTAAGTTTTAGAAGTTTATTTTTTTCTTCTAATTGGAAAGCAGTATTGTTGAAATGGGTTTTTAATATGTATTGTACTTCCATTAACAATAAATAAATGAATTCATTACCCAAACAGTTCTTTGTTCTTGAAATTCAGAGGGCTGTAGTAGGTATTAGTGGAGATTGACATTATTTAACTAGCTGGAAGTAGAATTGCTACTTTCTAAAGCAGAATTTTTAAGTCTTTCAAAAACAAGAAACATAATTGCCTCAGTAGAAATAGCTTTTATTACGTTTTAAACTTGGCATGCAGGAAAAAAAAAATAGCTATGGTTATTGAACAGGAATTTAAACAAATAGAATACAAAATATAATTTTGATCTTTTTTCCTCTTTTAAATAACACAGCAGTCTAAAGCTGGTTCTGAGAAGGTCCCAGAAGGGCAGCAAGCTACATATTCTAACGTTTAAGAATGATTTGTGTAACTTACTGTACAAGAGGTTCATTGTTCAATTTGTACAAATTTCACCAGTCATTTTAGTCATCAAATAATAATTTTATAGGTTACAGGGTAATATCCCAGGTGCAGTGGGGCGGCGAGACCATGATCTGCATTGCTTTACAGTGAGGATTGTTACTTATGTCTAGTTTCTCTGCTGAATACCAAATAAGAGCAGAAGCAAAGCTGGTGCTTTCTTTTTTACATTTGTGTCTAATTTTACAATTTAATGACATCAAAGAATGTGGTGGATCTTTCAAGAAAAAAAAGCTTCCTTTTTAATCATGCTTCTCTTATTAGGCAGATGCTTCTGTTGATAGCTCTGAAGATGGGGAGAAATTTAATGTTGAACTCACTAAAAACAACCAGGGATTAGGAATAACTATTGCTGGTTACGTTGGAGACAAAACGTCAGGTAATGATCAATTCCTGCATTTTTCTATACAATCTGTTGCATATTATGGTGTATGTGCATCAAACACTTAATTTTAGTTTTGGTATAACATTTCTAAGAAAAACCTTGACCATCTAAAACCTTTTTAAAGTTTGCAAAGAAAAAGGAATTGTTTTCGTTTTGTGAGAAGGACATTCAGATTAGAAGCAATTAATTTTATTATAAACTCCCATCTCAGCATTTTTTAATCAATTTTTGTATTCAGTCTTGTGTAAAGCTTGTGCTTCTATGTTTTTGCAAAACAATTCTAAAATTGATGGAGCCATTTTTGTTGGAACTGGCTGGGCTTTAAAATTACATTTTCATTTTTAAAAGGCTTTTGCAAGATAATACATTAGTATTCTGAGTAGTTTTAGGAGGTATTGTTATTTTTTAAACAATTGTATAGTACTGCTGGCAGATCAAGAATTCCTTCATGACTTCTGGATATAATGAATGTTTGTTGACCTCTGGGCTGTTGCAGCCAATAAATAAGTTAATTTAAATAAATAAATGCAACAGTGTTCATGTACAGTTGTGTATTTTTACTAAGTAATTTCCACTAAATTTTTCAGAAAAATGATCCAGAACTTTCTTAGGCCTCCCTAGGGGGAGGCAAATGCAATACTGCTAGGAAGGGACAGTTGTCGAATGTGTTGTAAAACTTCTCCGAGAGCTGTTGGCTTGACTTTTACCCATGTATATATTGTTAGAAAAATGTAAGGATAGATACATCCCACGTTATTGGCAGTTTATAGACATAATTTTTTGGCTTTGGGAAGCTGGACTAAATTTTAACAATCTGTTCCATAGGACAGGATGGTCACAGTTTGTGTAAGTCCACTCTTTAGCAGCTTCCAGTTGAATCTTTAAAAGGCAAATTAAATTGTAGAACATGTGATAGATCTAATAGCATATTTTAACTGATTTAGTGTTGGAGTATCACGAATCTTTAATTTTAAATTTATTGTGCTCCATGTAACTGCATTAGAAAATATTCTTGCCTTGGGAACTAATTGGGCATCTCAGTTTTGTGAGTTAACACTTAGTTAAAGCCCAACTTTGCTGTCAGAGAAGCAGCAATAAAACTACTGGACAGCAAGATCTGTGGCTGAATCTTTAATGAATGACAAATAGCAACTTGTCATGTTACCATACAGTTGTTACAGCATATAAAAACACTTGGAAGTTAGTAATACTAAGCCATTTAATTATTCACAAAACCTGGTGTGCTGGTTTTGGCTTGCATAGGATTAATTTTCTTCATAGTAGCTAGTATGGGGCTGTGGTTTGGATTTGTGCTGGAAACAGTCTTGATAATACAGGGATGTTTTCATTACTGCTGAGCAGTGCTTACACAAGCCAAGGCCCTTTTCTGCTTCTCAGCCCACCCCACCAGCGAGCAGGCTGGGGGGGCACAAGAAGCTGGGAGGGG